CCGGGGCAGGCGCTAGGCAGGCAATTAAAACCAAGGGAAACTGGGGTGGGGAGATGCACAAGAAAAAGCTCACAATTCAGCTATGCAGGCCTTATCCTCCCAGTAATTTTCAGGGGGAAAAAAGTCTTACTGAATTAATAGAGGAAAGGAAAGCCCAGCCCAGCCCAGCCCAGCCAGCCGGCTAAGCAGTCCAGATTAGAAACCGGGAAGGAAAATCATCACTGGGCTGCCTGCGCCGGGGCAGGCTGCTGCCAGCTGGCAGCACCAGTGCGCCCCGGCAAGCTGCTGACAGCACAGCACTTGTCTTTGCAGCTCCCTTCCCTGGACATCCAGCAGTGTATTTCAGGAAATAAAGACTAATAGTAATAGGGAAAAAAAAGAATCAAAAGGCAAATGGTCCAGGCAGGCCCATCTCTCCACCCAGAGCTGGGGGCAATGTTGTCTCTACAGACCATGAAATGTGGTATCAGAAGGTAAAAGCCATTTGTCACCAAGAGGCAATTGTTTTTGTTCACTCCCAGGCTACATCACACACTGTTCATGTTTACCCCGACTTCCATGCCTTACAAAGGAAGATGTCAGCTCCTAAAAAACGCAGAGACATAAAAAGACCCTCCGGCATCAGTGGCTTGCAAGTGATGTGCAGGAGAGGTGTGGGAGAGTCCTGCCACTGCCAGGTTTCCCGCTGCCTGCACCATATGGCAAGGCAGGATGGAGAAATTCAAGATAACAGGGGAATTAGGGGTTATGGGGCCAGGAATACAGAAAAATAAAATTTAAAAGTTCAGCCTGAAGAGCTGTAACTCCTCCTGGCCACCCAAAGCCTGGGACCTTCTGTGCCGAGGGAAAGGGTACATCCAGTCTTCCACCAAGCACTGACCTTGCCAGATCTACTAAAAGTTCATTAGGGAGGTGAAAACTCCTGTTGTTTTCTGTATTTTATTTTATTACTGTGAAACAGAAGACACTAGCGAGGAGAGAGGGTTGTTTTTTAAGTAAGGATCCTGGAGTCTGGGGAGAAAGCCAGGGGGGCTGCAAAACAAAGCCCCTATTAACTTTGGTCCCGACTTTCAGGTCGCGCATGTTCAGTTCTTTTTACCTGGAAATGAAGATATTAATTGGAGCTGACAGCTTTCATAGGTTTTCCCATTAGCAATGTTTTTAGCCACAGTAGGGCCCACGTCTTCAAACACTTTCCCAAGGGAAGGTTTTAACCTTTCTTTTGAAACATCTCATGCCACTTGCAGGGAAAAAAAAAAAAAGAGAGTTTTTTGGCTCGAGGCATACCGAGCCCCAGCTGTGACAAACTCCCGGCTCCTCTGAACAGGGGACACAGGAGGAACAGGGAAAAGAAACTGGGGAGAGGCAGCCCAGAGCAGAGTTTGGCACCCAGCGGGGCGGCCGCCCCTCCAGCACCCCGACCCTCCCCGTCTGGGCGATGGGCTCTGGGCATGGCCAAGCCCGAGGGGGGCTCTGTGGGGTGCGCTGGCTCCAGTCCCCTGTGGTGCGGCTGATCTCCACCACCGAGACGGGACCACACTTCAGCACCGGTGCTCGGAGCCAGGAGCCAGTCAGACACATGTCCCGTGCCATGCCGATGCCCGACCCTGCTGTCCCGGTGCCAGCAGCAGGCACGGGACCTGTCCACGGGTGACCTCTAGGGCAGTGATCAAAATGGTTCCTCAAGCCCTTTTTCTGCCACAGATCAAATCCTACACATCAAAATTTTGTTAGTGTGCTGGATCCAAGAACACTTTTTTTTTTTTTACAGCTGGTTTCTTTGTATAGTGTTATCATCTATATGTAATTTATTGTTTTCAGATGAAGCAAAAGCCTTGAGAAACAACATTCAACACTGTCTCCTGCCAGGACTGAAAATTATGCAACTTTCTTACTTTCCATATAAATATATGGATAGTATATATATATTAAAAAGTACATTAAAAAGAATATATTTTTATTTTGATATATTATCCATTTATGTATTTTTATATTAACATTTTAATATAAAAAGACATAATCATGGATGACAGTATTTCCTTATTTTAGAAACCTGCTCCAACACACATATTCCACTTACACCATCACCATTACCCCCACCAAGTTTTGCAGTTTCTCTCCAAGTGGAAATGTATTTTAGCTGAAAGCCGTGCTGACACCCGAGGAAGCAGTTAGACGGTCCCAGCGGAGCCTCAGTTGCTTACCTCGTTGTATCCAGTGTAATCGCTCTGGAAAGTCTTAGTTTTGAAATTTTATGTCTCTAAGATGGTGACATCAAGGGAGACCAGACAATTTTATGAGGATGCTTTTACTCATCTTCACAGGCAGCAGCCAAGACAGGGCAGCCCAGGGCTGTCCCAGCTGCTCTGGTGCCGTGAGACCCTGGGGCTTTGCTGGAGCAGGGACAAAAGGGACACATCGTTCCCAAGAGAGGCCATGGGGGAGGCAGCCCCCTCTGCATGGGGCTTCTCACAAAGCCACCTGGATACCACAGGGCTGCGTGGGACCGGGGCGAGGGACTGGGGGGGGAAAGTCACCCTGCAGGGAGCACTGGTTTTATTGCATTTGACTGGGTCCAGTAGTGCCCTTGCAGTCGCATTCCCTGAAGGAGAAGCATGTTTTTGCCTTGATAGTACTGCCCTTCCTTGGGTCCTGGCACCACCACAGCCCCACGTGCACCCAGACCCTGCGAATTCACCCACGTACAAGGCGGAGGGTCCCATCTCCCAGTGAGCATCCCAAACAAGGCGCACTAGGGCTGCCACATCAACACGCACCTCCCCAAACATTATTTACCTGGTAGATAAAAGCGCCTCTGCGGTGCCAGCGCAGAACAGAAGGACATCAGCAACAGCTGCAGGGAAGAGCATCATCCCACTAGGAAACAGGGCTGCACTGAGAGCTGTGAGCTCTCCCCACCTAGGAAAGGTTTGTGAGGGTGGGCTGACCCTCAGCTGGTGCCCATCAGCCCTTCACCTGCCTCCCTTGTAACTCGCTCAGCCCAAAGCAGCCAGGGCCAAATCCTGCTCACCTGCTGTGGGCGCCGAGTGCCCCACACACCCCATGCGGTGATGCCATGTGGCTGATGGAGGCCGGGCAAAGGGCAGGGTGTGCACACAGGCTGCCCCGGGGACCCCAAAAAAACAGCCGGGGTCAATAAAATAAGCTTTCCCAGGCATCCACTCCCCCCCAACGCACCTTTTTAATACAGAATAGATTGGGGTAAAACCAGGTCCTTTCACACGAGACCCCACGTCCCTGGGGAGTCGCTGCTACTCGAGCACTAGAAAGACGGAGGAGCCTCCACCTGCTGTTTGCTGTTTATTGTAGCAGAGAGAAAAATAACGTGCACAAGAGGCATTTTGCATAACTTAATAGAAAATAACACTTTTCCTCCACTCTTCACAGATCAACGGGCAAATCATTTCCTACACACGGCTATTTTTTTGTGCTAGTGGTTTGGTGTATTGATAAAATCATGGGTTTCCTCTAATACACTGCGATAGTTGATCTGAAACCCAAAGCTCAGGCTTGGGGGGATCCTTCGCCATTTAACACAGCGCCCATCGTCATTTACCCGTGGGGAGGGTGAGCGCTGGGTTTGTCCCTGCAGCACTCCCAGAAGGGATTTTCGCAGATGGGGTCTGGCTGGGGACGCTGAGCAGCTCCGTGGCTCTCGCCCCCCGCGCCACGTCCCGGCCGGTCTTCCCCGGCAGAGGTCACCCACAATGAGAGGGGCACGGGCAGTGCTGGCAGCCTCAGTCCAGGGCCAGCGAGGGGATCTTGCAGACGAAGGGGAAGGCTCTGCTGCAGGCATTGTCGTTCCAGGAGCGTAGCGCTACCCCCCAAAAAAAACCAAGGCATTAGCTGAAAAAAGGCATGAGGAGGTAATCATGCACTGCCCTCAGGACTGGGACCTCCTGCCATTGCGGGAGGCTTTCCCTGGGTGTGCTTCCATTTGCGCTGCTCCCGGCCGTGCCCCCTCCCAGCATCCCCATCCCTGTCCTGGGGATGCTGGCAGGGATACCTGACCCTGGCTGGAACATGGTAGCAGGGAGGCAGCTGCAAACACAGCCTCGTACCCCACAAAATATCAACAGGCTGCCCATGGACGGAGCATTTAGGTATGCTCAGGGGGGTCTGGATACACCTGACTGGTCTCACTGGCAATGAGGGTGTGAGGGTTTTTGCACAAGCAGGGTCTTGCCCCACTTCAGCGAGATGCCCTTGGCCTGAGCAAGGGAGGGAAAAGCTGGCAAACTGATGGGTGTTTCCATGGGAGGGGAAATGGGAACATTTGACCTTTGGCTAAATTCGGTAATTCCTCAAAGTGGATGATGCTCCCCTCTTGCTGCTGCTACGGGAGAGGGAGATGGGCTGTGAGCAGAGGGAAAGGAAGTGTGTGTGTGTGTATGTATGTATATGGTGAAAAACACATCCCTTCTCTGCAAAGAAAAAAGAAAATAATAATAAAAAATTAAAATGCAAATCCTCAGCCTGCCAGCAACCTCTTCAGAAAATTAGGAGCCGCAGTGGATTGAATTTATTGACATGCAAATAAGACTGAAGGTGCCCTCGACACCTGGCGCGGCACTCACCGCTGCTGTGCCTGTACCAGATCTGCACACAGTCCTCCTCCTCCGGGATGGAGTGGATCCCGTCGTCGGGCTGACTGCCGTCCCAGTAGTGGTAGTCGTAGGAGGAGCCGTCCGTCCACTCAAAGTGACCCTCCTGGTGCGGGGCGAGCGGAGAAAGGCGGCGATCGCAGAGCCGCATTTGCAGTCGGGGGGGTCCTGCTCCCGCGTAGACCCCGTCCCCATCCCCAGTGCCACACAGCCCGGCGACACAGGGAGAGACTGTCACCGCTCAGCAAAGGGCAAACAGCTCGTTTGGGTTTTACAACTGAAAATTTACCCGGGAAAGCCCCAGCATTCACAGTGTTCTCACCAGGGGAAGCCCAGAAACTAAACCCATATATTTTTTAACACACCCACCCAATGCTGTGTTCCCTTTCCTGTTTTTCCATTCCTTTCCCAATATCTACAAAAAATTTGCTGGCATGGGACTGTTCTCCTGATGGTCTGGCTTTCTCTTTGTTACATATTAGACTATACATTTCCAACATGCCAGCTTTGAAAAGTTGCGGAGTATTACAAGAAAGCAATGAAACTTGGTGATTTTTGACATTGGAGACGTTTTCAGTTTATTTGCTCTTCTTGGACCAGCAGTACAATACTCTTTCTATTAATCCATTAATAAAATATGACGTGAATAATTAGTAATTATTAATCTATTAATTCTAGTAACACTTTTCTTTTAAAAGCAGACTGGAGGGGATGAAATTACAACTTTCCCCCGTGCGCTGCACAACAGACCCTGCGCCACCACCCAATTAATGGGGCTATAAGGAGCACAGAAGAAAACCAAGCGGCTTTCCAGGGGGAGAACGCAGGGAAGTGAATTTTTCAAAGCCATTTCCCACATGATTACGGGGAGCTCTCACCTGCCGCAGGTCGTTGAGCCCCGTCCAGATGTCGGTGGGGATGCCCGGCACACGGCTGTTCACCAGGTCGTAGACGAAGACGTTTTCTTCCCAGCTGGCAAAACAGAGCAATACGGAGCCGCTGAGGGGGTATGTCAGGCAAATGGTCAGGCATGCCCCCAAGCATTCGCCCTATGGCATAGCCAAATGGGTCCCCCTCTTCTAATTGCTGTTGACTACTTTCCCAGGTCTGTGCAAGAGGTGCGTAGTGTGGGGGAGAGTTGGGGAGAGGGAGTGGGGGAAAAAGCCTGGGTAATCTTGTTGTATTCCTATCCCTTTTTCAAGAGTAAAAAATGCAGTTTTGGGAAATTCAGGGAATACTATGTCAGTTTTCCTGCCAGGCCAGGAAAAGGCATTTTTTATATTGCCTTTGTGTGCCCAGTGCATCAGACCTGACCTGGTCACTGCTGCAGAGGGATGCTTAGGCTGGTGCAGAGGGATGCTCAGGCTGGTGCAGAGGGATGCTCAGGCTGGAACACGAGCCTGCAGCTGGCACAGAGCTTGTGCTGTGGGAGTGAGACTTCGTCCCCATTTTCCTTCTTCCCCAGGCCGTGCCAGGGTGGGATGACATGTTTCTGCTCCCCTCACCTATGGATGGAGGCCAGCTTGGCTGATCTGATGCCAATGGAGAACTCGGCGCAATAGAGGTCAGCTTCAGCCCAGGTTTTGTTGATGGGGAAGTACCGGTAGCAATGGCCTTCGTACTCTGTCCAGAAGAGCGGGCAGGAGTAGGCGTGGACGGGCTCTGGCATGGCTGGGGGCAGAGCAGAGGACATCCAGCAGCTGATGGCAAAGCAGTGTGGCCAGGCAGCCAAGCAGGCAGTGGAGGCAGCGCTACCCAGCCCTGCTCCCCCCACCTCACCCAGGCAAATAACCACCAAACACATGCATGGAAAAACCAATCATTGTAGAAGTTGTGCAAAAGTTTGCAAAAGCCAAAACACATTTTGCAAAAGCTATGGGTTTCTCGGTTTTAGCATCTGCCTAAATCAGGAGGGACATTTCAAGCCATTTTGACATCATTTTAGACAGAGGGTGCTTAAAATAAAGGCACTGACATTTGCTACTGGGGAAACCAAGATAAGGGCTCCTCTCACCTCTATCAGGCACTACCGGAGCCGCCGTGCTGAGATGGGAGCTGACAGCCAGGGGCTGCAGGGTTATGGCCGCACTCTGCCCTCCTGCAAGGCCAACTTGCACCTCCTCCCTCTGAGCAAACCCCCTCACCTTCCCCTGTGTCCCTGGGCCCGGACGCAGCCATGCACGTACGGACACGTTGGCTTTCGGCCCCATAAATAGCCAGGCAAGGCGCACATGCCGCCGGGAGCGGTGCCAGCCTATCTGCCTCCCGCCGCCAGATAAGAGCCAGGGCTCCATGGGGCCGCTCCTCCTCCCCCACCACTGTTCAACACAGCGGGGGAGTTACCCCAAAAGAGGTCATTTTGGGGGGCAGGACACATTTCTGGAGCCTTTGCTGTTGCTGCGCTGTAAACACTGCAGCAGCATTAACACTTCCCTCTGACCTGCTCCACCTCGCGCGTGGGGAGGACGCAGCACACACACACAACACGGCACCCAACGCGAACGCACGCGTGACCCCCAAATCTTGTGGCACATAGGCTTAGCTCTCTTAGCTGCTGGGTTTTGAGCCTTGGGGAATTGCCAGGTCCCACAGAGCCAGTTCCCGCATCCCTGTGGCGTCCTGCTGGAGCAAGGAGGGAGACAGGCAGGGCAGGGGGAGCAGGGGGTTACAGCACACATCAGATGCCATGAAACTATCCAAGCAGGTAACAGGCTCAAGCCCGGAGAGGTCAGGGTGCTGCTACAGGGCCTTCGGTACTGAGGGGCCGGGGGGGAATGGCTTTCCCCGAGGGCGGGGAGAGCAAAACCCTGCCAGCGGCAGCGCAGGACATGGGAGCGGCAAGGGCAGCATCGGCATGGGGAAAAGGAGAGGCGAGGTGAATTCAGAGCAGCTGCGGGAGTGTTCATGGAGCCTAATCCTTCCCTTCAGTGGCAGCTCTGGGTGATAATTTCATATTTCATCAGCTCTTTCCACTTGGGGATCCCTGAGCGTTTTACAAACACCCACGAGCCAGCCCCCCGGGTCCCTCCTGTCACACACCCCTCCCAGGTGACAAACCGCAAATGCAAAGAGCCTTTTTTTTCCCCCTGAGCAAGGCGCAGAGGCCAACTCGACTGCCAGTAGCATCCATTCGGCTGTCGCCCCATCACGCCTGCCCCTGGAGAAGCCATGGCTGGGACCAGCTCTGCACCCAGAGCAATAAACCCGCTGAGAGCAGCGAGGGGCTCTCCCGTCCTCGTCAGCACTAGCTACGGGCTGCGGAGGGAAAAAGATAAGGCACACCGGGCTGGAAACAAGAGGAACAGCTTTACAGGAGGGTGGCCAAGCCACAGCCAGCTCAGTGGCAATGCAGGGTTCAGCTCTCGGACTCACACCCTGCCATCCTTGCGTTTGGAAAAAACCTTTGAATAGCCCTAAAAAATGCAAATTGTTGCTATTATAGCAATAGAGTAGAAGGACCAGGAACGCTGAGAGCTGATGTGATGTCCTGGGAGCCAAGCCCTCCTCCCCACATGGCGCCGGCCAGGGGTCCCTGCCACACTGAAAGAGCAGCAGAGCAAGGGCAGAGGGTCAAACCCACAGGATGAGGCTTCAGATTCGCCACCAGGTTGTGGATGAGGCGCGTCCCCCCATTCGGGACAGGGCTGGGATCTGGTCCTGGCTCACGGTGACTCCAGGTTGCTGCTCCCTCCTGCCCAGAGCACCCCGGGGGTCTGTGGCAGACAGGCACCGCCAGCTCCCCCAGCAACTGGGGTTTTATTATACAGGCTGTGAAGTGCCTTGACGAACTCTTCACCTCTAGCAGCACGGTGGCAAAATTCACAGGCCTTAACCCAGCAGCATCCCCGGCAAACGGGGCCCTTCGCTCCCGAGTGCTAATTGCAGCGGGCGTCCCGGTGCCCTGGCTCCAAGCTGGGCCCATCGGCGCCCCAATCATCCAGGAAAATCACCCTCGTTTTGTTCAGAGCAGCCAAAACCAAGTCAGAGATGGAGACAGTCCTTCTTTGTTACTCCGTACTGCTTCCCATTAGGTAGCATTAATTTGATGAGCTTCAGCGAACCAGAGGTGCCTGAAGGAATTTAAGGTTAAATATACTGAAAAGGAAAATATGGGAGGTCAGCATTTAATTAGCATCTTTTCTGTTAGGTCAGGATCAGAGGCTTTGGCTGTCTCTTTGGAGAACTATTGCTCCCAGTTTTACAGGAACGACTGGGGGTGCTACTTTATCTGGGGTCTTTGGGGGCTATTTTTAGCAGAAAGGCCATAAGAAATCGGATGTATGGTTGTGAGTATATGAGCCCACTCATGGCTCTGTAGGAAAACCTCATAACCCAAGACAGCAGCTGCTAATGGTATTTTGATGAAGGGGGGACAGGGGAAGCATTTTGGGGCTAGTTAGACCAGATCCTCACTTTTAAGCACACCAGCAAACATCACCCCCAGCAGCATCAGCTCCTCCGCATGGGGGAGGAGCAGCACAGCCACTGCCCGCGGGACGGGGGCTCCTGCCGACCCCAAGTCAGTTCATCCATTTGTCCCCAGATTCCTGCTAAAAAAAGATGGCAAGAATCCTTCCTCCCTTTGCTTATTTACAGTGCAGAAGCTTTAAGGTCAGGGCCATGTTTTAACGCAGCACCAGCAAAATAGGTGTCCAAACTTGGTTGAGGATAAGATTCATATCAGGCAGCTGTTACTAACTCAGAAAAGCTGGAAAACAAGAATTTTGGGTCAGAAAAAGAGTTTTGTGCTCTCTGGATTTGTGTTAGTGCCAACAACACCAGAGCCTTTTTATTTATTTACTAGCTGAGACCCACTGCAGAACCGCTGGGAAAATCACTTGTCAAAATCTTGCAGAAGCTGGCATTGCTCTGCCAAAAAGTTTCACTTCCCCAAGTGGCCACTTTCCAGACAGAAGTAATTAACTGAGAAAACCCCAGCCAGTTTCACACATTTTTTTACTCCAGGATGCTACCGAAAAGGATAAAATACCAGCTGTGGGACTCCCACTGACTCAGCCAGGGAAGGGCAGGTTTTTTCCTGACCAGCTTCATCCCAAGGTGCAATGCTGCCTCACCTCCAGCAATCTGCAGATTTGAGACACGAAGTCTGGGGCTGGGACAAGGTTGGCAAGAGATGTCCGTGCAAGAAAGAGTCCTGGGGATATTGCAGCTCCACCAAAGCATTTTGGAGAGCAGATCAGATCAGGTCAGTGCTGGCAGCTGATGACTTACCAAAAAGCTTAGAGATGCTAGGAGACACCTCACTGAAAGGCATAGCCTTGAAACACCCCTCTTGGCACATCCATAAGCTAATGCTGCCATCTGACCTGAAAAAGCAAGTGAACCTCTTCAGTTCTTGGCAAGCAGCTGGGTTTGGAGCATGTCCATCAACGCCCAAGAGGCTTGTCTGAAGTTGATGCCAACGGAGAAGAGCTGAGGAGATCCCCGTCATGTGCAAGGCTGGGTCCTTCCCAGGGCAGAGCAGCCCGTGGAGCCCCTCCGCTGGTACCCGAGGGCTGCAATGCTGAGAGCGAGGGATGGGGAGTGCTCCCCAGCCGGCGGTCACAGCAGGGGCTCAGGACGAGCACCCTGGTGCTCACCAACACCGAGTTGCCTCTTACCAGCTTGGGGCCCCGGGGAAGATCAGCAGCACGGCTTTACCCTGTGTCAGTGCTGCCAGAGCAGTAGGCAGTTATAGGGAATGGGAGAGACAACAGGGCTGGGACGGGGAGCCCCAGGACCCCCCGAGGACCGCTTTGGCAGAAGCAGCCTGCAGTGAGACTGGGGGGTTCAAAGTGCCAGCTGAGCCAGACCTCCATCCCACCGCAGCCTTGACATGTCTGCCAGCCCACGTCCTCTTTATTGAAAAAACACAAAGAATAAGCATTAAAATGGGGGTTTGGTGGGCAGGAGCGTGCAGCAAGGGCTAAGACAGCGCTACCGTATGATGCTGGGATGCCTCAGGTCACCCATGGCTTTAGGAGCACGTCCTTAAGCCCTGACACCACAGTCATTATGGACAAACAATCCCACCTTCATGTGATTTGCAATATTTGCCTTTCATTAACAGATGAAAAAGTCTCTTACTTAGCATCCATCTACAAAACAAGCAGTTCATGGGAGGGTTTTTGGTCGCCGTGTGTCTGGGGGATGTATGGAGCTGGAGAGGATGGTGTTGTCTGATGGACGTGAAGCTCATTTAACAACTGGGCAATATTTTACACACTCTGATGTGGTTTTTTAAAGCACATGTTACAAATTTCCAAGTAAAATTTTAAACACCAGTTGAAGCATGTTGGAAGTGACATCCCTTCACAGAGAGGGCTCTGGTTTTCTAAATCCTGTAACAAAACCAAGCTGGTTTTACATCTTCAAATCTTCTTCCAGGTATATTTGTAGTCGTGAGGCTATGGCAGGCGCCGGCAGCAGCCCTCCTGCAGCCAGCACTAACAGATAGGAGTTATCTTGCATGTTTTTTCTCCTTAATTAGTTTTGGCGAAGCTCCCATGGGTTAGGCATCTGGCAGGAAAGCTGGGCTCATATCGATCCTTTTTCTCACGAACTCACCAAACAGTGCTTAAGGAGTCCCCCTCTGCTCACATTCCCATACAAATCTAACAGGGCGCAAACAAACTCAGAGCAGCGACTTGGTCATGCCAGCCCCGTGAAAAAGTTTGCAAGAACCTTAAGCAACATAAAGAAGCTGCCGTCACCAACAGGAATAAGGGGGAATCACTTATTTCTGGCCACTTTTCACATCTAATAAGCGTGAATAAATAAACTAGGCACCACGGTGGTCCTCCCTGCCTGCCCTGCCGGGCTGCAGTCCTGCACCACTCAGATGTGCGCCTCCAGCAGTTGTTTCTGCCCGCTGCCCCTGCCCTCCAGGCCAGCCCCACGGCAGGGATGGCTGAGGGTCCACGGCATCGCGCCACGCGAGCGTGCGCTGCTGAAGGCGAAAGAAACACACAGAAGCAGAGCCAGAGCAGGGTCAGCTTCACTATCCTGAGAGAGAGAGAGCGGGGCTGCTCTTGGCACGTCCCCCCAGTGAAGAAGAAAGTTGATTTCAAGGAAAGTCAGCGATTTCTGGAGCAGTCGGCGAAAGGGGAAAGCCGACCCTGCAGGAGGGACGCGCTCTCCTCTCCCCGCTCAAGCCGTCGCGGTTTAAGGGTTACCTTCACCCCACGCCGCAATCCAGGCTTCGCACTCACCTTGGCTGATCTTGATGTTCGTCTGGGGGAAAGCCTGGGCGGCGAGCGCGGCGGCGGCGAGGAGCGCCCACACGGCCCAGCCGGTGCCCACTCCCCCAGCCGCGGCTCTCCCAGCCCCACACCTCCCGCCCGCCGCCGGCTGAGCCCGGGCGCGCTCAGCGCATCCCACCCCCAGCGACCCGCGCCCACGGCCTGCCCCGGGGGCGCACGTCTCCTCCCAGAGAGCCTTTGTCACAAGGAAGCAAGGAAATCCCTTGCCTACCCCCACGGTTGCTCCCTGAGACGTTATTTTGCGTCCCCAGGTTAGCACTGCCCAAGCGCGCCGTGCTGGCCGCCGTGCTGGCCGCCGTGCCCCGCAGGGGTGGAGGGCAGCCCGGGGCAGACCTTCCCGGCCGCGGGGTGCGGGCACGCCGTGCCCCTCCTGCCCGCCCTGCGGGCCCGCAGCCCTCCGGAGGCAGCTGGGGGGC